AAGAACAGAAACATAAGAACAACAAAAATGCTTGACAATTTGTTAGTTTAACAGGTCAATTATATTCGTTGATGATTATACCCGATTATCAATGGCAAAAACCTGAGACTATTTAATAGTATTCTTAAGGGCCACACCAAGAAAAATAACAGCAAAATATGTGTGTTGTTATTATAATTAATATAAACATTGTTTTGTCATTGTTTTAGAAAATGTACACCCATTCGCACTCTCTTTCGCATTAAGCTGACTAACTATTCGCCGGCACGCATCCCACAAGCACCGTCTAGGGGAATGACTTGAATACTAATTACGAATGATTTTGGTTCTTCAACATATTTTTGAGTATTTTATTTTTTAATTTAGGAATAATTTGCCAATACTGCTGACGTTTTAAGTGTCCACGTCATAGAAGCGTTTCATTTTATTAGCATTAGAAGTAAGCTTCTTAAAAGTGGCATAGGAATGTGTGAAATCAGGCTGCAATTAGAACTTGTAATGGAGTTGTAATTGAGGCAGCAATTTTCAACACGGAAATTATAAAAAATATATATGTTATTAAAAAAAAAACATTATAGGAATGACAGCGGAAAGACAAAAAATGGCGACATTTAATGGAGAATACAGGGTGACATAAAAAAATTGTCACAAAGCTAAACGCCATCATTTTAATTTTTTTCTAAATTTTTTTGAATGAAAGCAAAAAATGTCGCAAATAGCATCAAATTTTAGAAAAAGTTTAAAACTATATGGCCAATGAAACCGTCATACGCTGCCCAAATGTTGCTCTGCGTTATTTTTTAGTGCCAACCTTGCTCCGGAGATTTTGGTGGCCATTGTGCGCTGAAAATGAAGCAAGGAACCTCATTTTGTAACCATTCTTGGGTGGCACGTGTTGAGTGCGATGGTGCTAAGTCCTGTTGTAATGTCCAAGGTCTGCGGCCAAAATGTTTGCGTGCCCAAGTCTTTAATACAACCTCCAGAAGATTTTCGCGATAATATTTGGCATTTATTTTGATGGCACGGTCGATTAATACGAGCGGAGAGCGACCATCGGCTGTTATGGCGGCCCACGCCGTCACAATGGCCGGCGCTTGAGTTCTGGTGGCCAATCGAAGGTGCACATTTTCAGCTGACCTCTTAGGCAAGTAAACACGATCATATTGTTTGTTTACAAACTACTGGACAATGAATGTTTTCTTAGCGGAGGAAACCAAATTCGCCAGTTCACCACTTTCGGCCAAGCGAAGCAACTCTTTAGCTCATTTGCGTCTATTTTCTGGAATTTCAATTGCTTTACCCCGAGCTCATTTTTTCAATATTTGCCGAATGGAACATTGCGATATGTTCAGCTCACGAGCCATTTTCCGGCCACTGCGACGCGGATTTCGATCAAGTCGCTTCTTTACTTTTCGAACCATTTCTGCTAAAGTTGCTGTTTTCGTCGTCTTCCGATTTCAAGCATTTTAGCATGCACTCCATAATAGCGATATTCGGGAAAATATATCAAATACAGATCAGAAATACATTTGCCAAATTTTATCGAGATCGGTTAAGATTTGGATATAGCTTTGGTGCTAGCTATCGGATACAGCATGGAAATACCTCTGCTAAACGTTATAATATCTCTACACCAAGAATTTAATATCTACTCAAATATGACTTTGGTGCAAATCGGTTCAGACAGAAGTGTCTTCTTTTAATTTAGTGGAGATCGATTCATTTTACAAAATTCCTCCCATATAGTTCCGTTCGATTGGAAAAGGTTGATATTATCTACTTCACATAAATTACCAATATAAACACCTGTGCGTTACGGTAGCTCGACTAAATGTGAATAATAGTGTAGGGTATCATAGAGACGGCCGTACCTTTTGGCCTTTATTTACTGATTAATTTATATGAATATAATGTATTAAATTAAATTATATGAATATATTATATTAATTATTAATTAATTTATATGAAAATAATATATTAATTATTAATTAATTTATATGAAAATAATATATATGAATTTAATAATAATAATAGATTTCCAAAAATTTGGAAGTTGGGGAAACTTGCCCCAACTTATGTTACTTTTCGATATGAACGTTCAAAACTCCGATCCACTTATCTTCCTTTTTATCTCTAATCTCATATTCTGCTGGATTTTTTTTTTGTAATTATTTTTTTGTGTTGCACAGTGTTATCAAGAGTCACTTCTTTCTTTCAGTTTGCCGTAAACAATTCATCTATTAGTTGTTCTCTAAAAAGTCGCTGTTAAAGAACATTCTTCAAATCTACAATTGACGTTTACCCTTTCAGATTGCATTTGAAAAGACTCAACTCCTCTAAAAGACTCCTAATCCTTCATGTTTGATTAAAGTTTTTGTTCAATACAAAACGACAAGCTCATTGAATAATAATCACCATGTCCTTAGCTCTTATCGTTCCCATACTGCAGCTGATATGCTTTTACATTGCAAGACATACATATACACACATGCATATACAGAACTAAATTGTTTATAAACATATCAAATAGTAAATTAAATTGTATATTTAACAAATTGCACCAGTGAACTTGACAATTGAACGTGATAACGAAACGAAAGTAGGAAAGCTGCGGCATTCATTCGTTCATTCATACGCTGTGGATCATTCACATTGGCGGCAGCAGAGCAGCAGCACAACGACCGTCACAATTATCAGCGGTAACATGGAAATTATTGCAGCATCGAGCAGCACAGCAACAAACATTAACAGCAACCAATCTGTTGCTGCAGCCATCATGATTCTCCACCCAGATCCAGACGTCATCAAACCGAGTCGTGTATTGAAATGAAAGTGATGCAAGAAAAAACTACAACCGGGGAGGAGAAACGCCAAAAGCATGAATGGGTCACTGTGTGAAAAATATTTTCTTTTTCTATTTTGTTTGCATCCAAGTGAGTGGTGTTTGTTTGCCGATCATCATCTTTGCCTTACCACTGTCGTCGTCATTACCACCAGCCAGCAAGCAAACCCGACGACGACGATGATGATGATGATGATGACAATGAACCAAAACATATTTTTATAATAAAAATCACAACAAAGGCACCCTGGCCTAACAAGCAAAAAATGAATGCGAACCAGAACCAGAGCGTTTTTATTCCCTTGTCTCTGGCTTTAAATGAAATTGTGACGGACAAATGATTTGTGATGATGTTTTTCATTATATCACATTTAAATAGTGAAGTAAACCGTTTCCATAGGCTTTACCGGGGTGAAAATCGATCAATGGATCCAAACAATCTGTCATACACAGATTTTAATGTCATTTTTATGTCGGCCTAAAAGTATGCTTTTAAATTTACTCTTCTAAGACATAACTCCGTTCTGTATTACCAGTAGGTTGAAAATATTTCTTAACAAATACAAAATAAAATAAATTATTTCCCTCACCACCAAGTATTGAATATCGACTACATGGAGTGTGAGCCCTTGATTGCAAAACCGAAGGTTGTAAGGCTCAGCGGCAGAAAATTAGAAAAAATTATAAAATATAAAGAGTTGTTTAACTAGATGTAAGACTTAAAACTACAATACAAAACATAAGTTGGCAAATTTATACTTTGTCCTTCTTTTGGTGACCAGAAAAGTACTGTTTTTTTCAAGTTAAATATCCATGTACAAATAATGGGTTAGTAGGTTGATTTGTAAGTAGACACGATTGGTAATCGGCACTGAAAAACCTATTACTTGGGAATGAGAGTTTTTACTGCGTTACTATATTTGTGTATTTCCTCATAAAGTATTAACAGTACGAATTTCTTACGATTAGTACCATACTAGGAAGAATTAATTCAAACTTGGGTAACATTCAAAATTTCAACATTATGAACTAAATCTATATATAAAAAGAGTAATGGCATAACTGATTGACTGACCTTGAATCAACGACCCGACAAAACGTCTGAAGCTAGAATCTTGAAATTTTGCATGAAGGTCAGCCTTGGTGCGTAGGCATGGGCTAAGGCTGGGTTTTTGGAATTTCGTACTAAAAAGATACGAAAAGTATTAAAATGTACCCAATTTTCATACTTTGTATTGGACAAACGAGCTAGAATTCTAAAATTTGGAATGAGAGTCACTGATGGAGTGCAGGATAGATGTAAAGTTCTAAAATTGTTCTATACTTCTAAAATGGTATGGATATGTGAACGGATAGAGCTAAAAACTAGATTTTTTATGAGAATCAAGTTTGGAAAGTAAATTTTGAAGGTAGTTTTGGAAATGTACTCCAAATGTTCGAACTGTAGTATATGGTACTAAATTTGGAATAGTTTGGTTTAGGTTGAACGGATGAAGCTGGTACATTCAATTTCGTATTGGGGTCTTTTTTGGTGGTTGGTTTGTGATAAAAACGTGGTTTTGGAAATGCGCACGAAAAGTACTAAATAGTACTATGTTTGGTACAATTTGGTAATGGTATTAGGTTTGGGGTCGCTGTTTATGGATAGCCAGGTTATATGGAGGTGGGTTCGGAAATGTGTACCATAATTGCACTAAAAGTACTGAATGGTACTTTAAATTTCAGAAATTTGATATTGGGGTCTCTGTTGGTATCAGGGATTGAGACATGGTAATGGTTTCGGAAATGTTTACTATAATTGCACTAAAAGTACTATAAAATTCTGAAATTTGATATTAAGATTACTAATGGAATCTGTGTTTGAGATTTGGCGGTAGTTTTGGAAATGCGTCCTATAATTGTTTGAAAAACGATGAAGCGATAGAGCCAAAATCCCGAAATTTAATCTCGATTGGTATTAGGGATTGAGATATGGTGGTGGTTTCAGAATTGTTTGAAAAGTACTAAGTGGTGCTATATTGGATACTGCGTGAAGGAATTCAAAAACGTTTATCAATTCGAAATGGTGTAAAACTATTACAGCTGGAATAAATTATACTTGCAATTTGTTATTCATCTCTCATCTGGGCAGCGCATTGCGCATTCAATTCAGTATCAGTGCATCTGTGGAACGTAAAACAACTCATTTTGTCTGCGAGCGGGAAAATTTTTCAAAATCAAAATTCGGAACGGAAATATATTTTTTTAAAAGCAAAAAAGAAAAAATAGTCCAGAAATAGGACAACAATGGAAACCAATCTAAAAATTCTCTTCCTACTTCTGACCGTGATTTTGCTACATAAATATGTCCATTCAATGGAAATGTGTGAGTGCCAATAAATAAATTGGGAAAATATAGTTTAAAAATCGGTAAAGGAAAATTTGTAATGCAAAAAATACACATATTAGATATTGAATAAAAAAATAAGGAAAAGACCCCAATAATGTAAAGGGCAACCTGATTACAAAACCAAAAATAATGTTTTGTTCTTTCCTATTTATGGACTGTTTCGTTTTAATTGTCTTTGCTGTATTAGCCAACTTTACAATAAAAGTGATCTATGATAATTTACCAACAGGTGCGCAGCAAAATATCCTGGTGATTTTTTTAAGGATTGCTTTAAAAATTATTTATGAACAGAAAATTATGTGAAAGTACATTGATTACGAAAGTACAAAAATTACACATCTGCATAGGGGACGGAATAAATGCAGTAGCCTGTCCTCGACGAAGTAAATAAAAATAATTTTACGAAAACGATGTAAACGAAAATTTCCTGATTACGTTAATGTGAAGAGTGTAAATTCATTCAACAGAAATTTTTAATAAATTTTGTATTGAGTTGTTATTTTAATAACAGAAGTAACTAGAGAATTGTGCATAAGAAATAAGTGAGAAGCGATTGCTGTCGGACGGGGCTTAACAAATGATTACTTATCTACTATTAGTTAGTGGTCACGGCGTGATTATTTTTTATTGAATGCAAAACCAACACTACAATATAAACTTTTTTAATTACTGTGCAGGCGTAAATAAATTATGAAATATACTTCTAAAGTAATATCAATAATATTAAAACAAAGGAAGTTGAACAGAAAAAAATATTTTGAAGAAAAAATTTATTAATAGAATTAATTAAATAATATTATGTTGACAATTAATTTATAATAAGTAACACTTCTATTCAAAACGGTTAACACAAATTTTCTTTCGATTTTTTGTAATTAAAGTGGGTAAGAATTGTGAAAAAAAAAAACGAAATTTAAAAATCGAAAGTTTTTTTTTTTCGTAGAATTTTGTATGAAATTGTTTCGGAATGAATTTGCGAATTTAAAAATAGTAAAGTCTTAGTTTAAAACCGAATAATGCGCAATTTTTGTATAGTGTAGCTGAGTTACAGTTATTTAAATGAAGCTAGAATCTTGAAATATTCCATGTCGGTAAATGTTGGTATTTAGGGCTGAAATAAGGATGGGTTTGTGGAAATTCGAACTATGAGTGTATAAAATTACTAAATGATATTAAAAGTATCTGTCGGTTGGGCGGCATATATACAGGGTGAGATGAATAAATTGCAACCAACTTAAAACTGCTGCCGTTTTAAGTCTCTCGTCCGACACATGTTACAATTATTCCAGTGACAGCTCATTATATTAAATACAAAAGCATTTTGGTGAGAATTTTCCAGAAAAAAGTTATTCGTGATTGAATTCTAGCGTGATAGTGTGATTTCTTTATATTTGGCTGGAAAACTACTAGTGGCTATCGGTAGAGCACTCCAGCATTTAAATGTGAATAAATCTTTTGCGTCTCGTACCATCGCTCGTTACCCTGATAATGGTAGCGTAGCCCGACGTCAAGGAAGTAGACGGAAGTACATCTACATCAGCAGAAATGGTTCGAAAAGTAAAGAAACGACTTGATCGAAACCCACGTCGCAATGGCCTAAAAATGGTTCGTGAGCTGAACCTATAGCAATATTCCATTCGGCAAATATTGAAAAATGAGCTCGGAGTAAAGCCATTGAAATTCCAAAATTCCAAAGAAAGAAAATATACTCAAAATATTAAAGATTTGCTTCGTTTGGCCGAAAGTGGTAAACTGCCAAATTTGGTTTTCTCCGATAAGAATACATTCGTTGTCCAGCAGTTTGTAAACAAATAAAATGATCGTGTTTACTAGCCAAAGAGGTCAGCTGAAAATGTGCACCTTTGGTTGGCCACCAGAACTCAAGCGCCGACCATGGTGATGATGTTGGCCGCCATAACAGCCGATGGTCGCTCTCCGCTCGTATTAATCGACCGTGGCGTCAGAAAAATGCCGTATATTATCGCGAAAATATTCTGGAGGGTGTAAAATACCAAAGTGTCGATCAACTCAAGCAAGCGTTTTGCCGGCAATACCGGAGAGCAACATTCGGGCAGTGTGTGACGGCTTCATTTGAAGCCCATAATTCGTGCCAATTCGAACAAATCTAAACTTATTCTAAAATGTGATGCTATTTCCGAAATTTTTAACTTTCATTCAATAAAATATAAAAAAAATGTAAAAATTATGGCGTTTGACTTTGTTGCAGTTTTTTTTATCTCACCCTGTATACTACAACATCGCCTGAATACATTTTTATACCCTGCACCATTCTATGGAGGGTATATTAAGTCTGTCATTCCGTTTGTAACTCCTCGAAATATTCATAATAGACCCTACAAAGTATATATATTCTGGATCAGCGTAAAATTCTAAGACGATCTAACTATGTCCGTCTGTCTGTCTATCTGTCCGTCCGTCTGTTGTAAAATTAGCATACGTGCATAGTTTAGCAGTAGGCAGGTTAAGTTCGTAAATGGGCCATGTCGATCCGCGTTTTCGTATAGCCCCATATAACGGTACCTCCTGATATTCGGTATTTTCGTGATTTTAGCGTCATTATTTACCGGAATTATTTCAAATTCCGTACTGGAAGATCTGAATGGGTACTATAACCTATGACAAAAAAAATGGTATGCAGGTTCAGATCTTCGTGTAGCCCCCATATGACGGTACCTCCATATACTCTGTATTAAGTAGCATTGACCCAAAATGCCTTTGCAATGGTATTACACGAGCAGTAAAATACTACACAACAATTTAATTGAGGATACGATTATTACGGGAAGTATGTTGCTACCTCGGATTCCCTAATTACACTTCAAAAGATTGCGGTTTCCTGCGCGATTGGCATTTGCTACGAATAATATAAAACCAAAGGAGAACCCCTTCCTATATGCGGACCAAATATATATATATATATATATATTTTTTTTTTTTTTTTGTTTTTTTTTTTTTGTCGATTTCACACATCTGATGCACCGAACACGATATGCATGTCCGATTCCAATGAAATGACTGACGGAAAAGGCTGGTGTATATTGTTTCCACAGAGGGAATGGTAGACTAGGTGCCGTGAAAATGAACTTAAAGATTCTGACAACTAGTGCTCAAAGGCTGGGTCTACTGGTTCTGCAAAGCGAGATGTAGATCAGGTGCCTCAAAAATGAGCTTTTTAAAATAAACGAAAAAAAAAACAAGTAAGTTAGGCCGGGCCGAACTTTGAATACCTTCCACCATTTAGAACGAATTTGAACATTTAAAAATACCGAATATAGCAGTTCTATTAGGGCCTGTACGACGTGCACCTACATAGGCATTGTTTGTCACAAGCCATTAGCAGATTCAAATTTGAAATTTTCTGTCACAGGCTGTAGCTTCCATTACGAACTTTAAATACGACATCTCAAACAATTTCGGTGAGTATTGTACCTAAAATCGTCAAAATACCGAATATAAGGAGGTACTGATATATGGGGCATATACGAAGACCTGGACCTGCATAAGTAACTTTCTGTCACGGATCATTACGAACTCTAAATACGTAATTTGAATTTGCCAAAAATTCTGTTAACATTTTAAAAATACCGAATATAGCCGTTATATTAGGGCCTGTACGACGTACACCTACATAGGCATTGTTTGTCACAAGCCATTACCAGATTCAAATTCGAAACTTAAAAGAAACGGTGAATAATGTAGCCAAAATCATCAAAATACCGTATCTGTCACGGGCTGTAGCTTCCATTACGAACTTTAAATACGACATCTCAAACAATTTCGGTGAATATTGTACCTAGAATCGTCAAAATACCGAATATAAGGAGGTACTGATATATGGGGCCCATACGAAGACCTGGACCTGCATAAGTAATTTTCTGACACGGACCAATACGAACTCTAAATACGTAATTTGAAACTACTACGGTAAATAATGACGCTAAAATCATCAAAATACCGAATATTGGGAGGTACCGTTGTATGGGGGCTATACGAAGACGTGGACCTGCATAGACAATTTTCAATTCGTTCGAAAAATAGCGTGATTACAACAGACATACAGACGGACAGACAGACCGACGGACATGGCTAAATCGTCTTAGAATTTAACGCTGATCAAGAATATATATACTTTGTTGGGTCTAAGATCATTATTTCGATGAGTTACAAACGGAATGACAAAATGAATATACCCTCCACAGTATGGTGGAGGATATAAAAATAGGTAAGTGAACATATACAATCACATGTGGAGAATAGATCTTTTAATAGAGTTCAACGAATTACTTAAAAAAATACTATTACAGAGACTATTTTAGATTACACATAAGGATCTCAATGGGTTACTGATTGCGAAATTAGTTCTTGCGAGAGATAATTTTAACGGTTCGAAATTCGTTTTCTACGAGAAGTAACTTCGCCAGTTAAGAAATGAGAGATCAATTAACAGTAAAGGATTTTCATAAGGCGGAAGTAATTTTGACGGGTTCCAATTAAGGCCCCGTAAAGCAAAAATCAGGAATTTTATCTGAATACCATTTATAAAAAGGACTCCACAGAATACATCCGTACTCTAATATTGGGCGAACTAAGCTTACAAATAATCTTTTGGTGACATATGGATCATCGAACTCTTTAGACCATGGTTTTAATGAAACCTAATAAAGATTTGGCTTTATTAACACATGAGTCAATATGTAAATAAAAACGTAGTTTAGGATCTAAGATAACACCGAGGTCAGTAAAGGAATCAACATTTTCTAATTTGTATGAACCGATAAAGTAGTTAGAATGTATTGGCTGAGATCTAAACAAGGACATTTTTTTGCATTTCTTAAGATTAAGGGACATACCGTTGGCATTGCACCAGTTCACAAGGGAATGTAAATCGTACTATAAGAAAGTCGAATCATCAAGGGAATTTATATACATGTAAAGCTTCACATTATCAGCATACATTAGTATTTTAGAGAATCGAATGTGATCCGGGAGATCATTAAGATACAGAACAAAAAGTAAAGGAATCAAATGACTACCCTCAGGTGCGCCAGAAGAAAGAAAAATATTTTTTGAAAACGAATCATTGAAAATAACTTTTTGGGTACAACCCTCCAAGTATGATGAAATCCAGCCTAATAGAGCAGTCGGAAAACCCATAGTATCAAGTTTATATAGCAAAAGCTTATGCACTACGGTATCAAAGACTTTAAGCTAATGGAAGGAAATTTAGCTAATAAATAAGAAAAATATGAAAACTTTATTTTACTCATACACCAAAATTATATTGACTTCAAGCTCAGAGTTATTAGCGTACAAAATATGGGTATATTTGTAAAGTGGGTGTATTGATGAAGGATGGAGTAAGTTCATCTACATCTCCTTTGTAACTCGAGATGCACTCCAATGTCATAAATTGTCAATTTGCTTTTCGAGTCTATGGCAGATTTACGTTTTTGTATTATTTTCTTCCAGTTTGAAATTCTTCATGAAGTTCAGAAGTTTCCTCTGTCGAACCAAGGCTTGGATTATTTTTAGATTAATCCTTAAGTGTTTGGGTGATTTTTTTTTCCAATAGGGATCATTACCTTGTATAGAGGTATAATATTGAGTTAAAAAACTGGTTTGCTGATCAACAGATTTAAGAAATTTGCTTCCAATTCATCTGGCTGATTCTCTATGTTGGTCATAAATATTTAAGCTTCTGAAATCTCGATAATACATATCTTCCGCTTCTTCTGGTATGGAAGTCACATGCAAAACGAATACGATAAGTTTTGGGAAGACACAATACTACAATTTGGTCTTAGTGTTAAATCTTTTATTCATTGCGAAAGCCTTGTTAGTAATGTTTCCGTTAATGATTAAACAACTGGGATGTTTTGAAAAGAAATCTCTTGCTATAATAAAATAGTTGTAGCCCATTGTGTTGCTGTCAAAGGCATTGTAAAAATAGATATAAAATAACCTCAAATAATTTTCTATAGACAGAAGAATGTTCAAAAAAGTCTTGTATAAAAGTTCTCCATTAAGGGTAAGAAGTAAGAAGATCACATACAAAGACATTTTGAGAATATTTTATCTATAGATTCACAAAAGATCGATTAGAAGTCCTCTATATAAAAAATACCTTAAAAGGGTATCTATCCATCAAGGAGTGTATTTAATGTCCGTTGATCTTCCTTCAATCTGTAGAAGAATTTATAAAAGCCCTATGAAGATCAAAAGTTATTCGATATAAAAGACTTTTTAATTGTATTTTGTAGCTAGAAGACCGTTAAAAGAGGTACTGCTAATAAATTGTCCCTCAGTGTTCTCAAACCTATTTCCGTGTATTTAATCGAAATCTTTCCCATTGGTTTTTCTTTATGATTAAGCAAGGATAATTGTTTGAGATTATTTTTGCATCCTATTTTCTAAATTAGTTTATGCTGAATATGCTAAATTTTGTAAGGAATCTCTGATTTTTTCCAGCCTATGATGCACTGCGACAAAAAATCATGGAGGCAGAAAGAGCCTCATCATTGGGTGGCAATGTTTGGCTATCATCGGCGGAAGAGAAGGCCAATAGTATATTAATGAATGCCAAGAGGGAGGAGGTGGGTGGGTTTATTTTTCCAAGATTTACATTTATTTTCCTCCTCAATCTTCTTCCCTAAACAGATTACCGAAGGTCTAAAAGATCCCACCAAATATCCCCCCGCAATGCATTTTTTCCAAGGCAAACAATTTTTGCGGCAAAGCGAAGTCTTCCGGATTATTCAGAAAATGCCCAAAGGAGCCCTGCTGCATGGCCACAACAAAGGTATGGTCACCTCGAAGTGGGTAATTGGCAATTTAACCAATTTGTATAATTTGTATACATGCCGCGATGTGAGTGGCCTACTGATCTTCACCTACGACCAAGCGCAGTGTCACAGCGAGATAACGAATGTGTGCTTGGAACGTGTCAATGCCGAGGATAAGCGAGTCTATGAAAAGCGTTTAGAGAAGCACATCAACATGTACACAATGCATCCGGAATGTGAGTGTTATTTGTTGTTGTTATTGTGACTGTTTGTTTTTGCGATTTGAATGGGGGCTTGTTCGTTTTCAGCCATGATCACCGATACCCGAAAATTGTGGAAGCGTTTTGAGAATATTTTCGTCAGCATGGATCAAATGTTTAAATATCAACCGGCATTTTGTAATTATCACAAACGTTTGCTGGAGGAGCTTTGCGAGGATAATATTATCTATGCCGAAATTAGGGCATCCTTGTCACCGGTAAGAAACTTGGAATATGGTATTTTATTTTTTAAGAATTTGAGAACTTTATTTTTAATTTACAGCTTTATGGAGATAATAATCGTACATACAACTCTTTGGAAGTGGCCACAGAATTGGAGAAAATCGTTGAAAGTTTCAAAGTGAAACATCCTGATTTCATGGGCATGAAAATAATTTATGCCAAGCGCAATAAGGGAACCGTTGATGAAATCGGACAGCGCATAATGACTTTCAAACAGTTGCAGTAAGTGTCATCGATATTTGAAAACTGTATTTTTTGAATGGACATGTGGATGTGGACATCGTGGATGAAGAGATAATTTTTGGAAGAATATTAGGGCGGAATATTTTCGAAGGTCTAACAGATCTTTGAAGACATTTTTTGAAGGACCATGATCGTGAATTATTTTAGAACTACAGGGTGAGATAAAAAAAAATTGCAACAAGTCAAACGCCATAATATTTCCATTTTTTTTTAAATTTTATTGAATGAAAGCAAAAATGTCGGAAATAGCATCAAGTTATAGAATAAGTAATCTATGGCACGAGTTATGGCCTTCAAATGACCAATGAAACCGTCACACGCTGCCCAAATGTTGCTCTGCGGTACTTTGGTCCATTCCCGGCGAAGCGCTCGCTTGAGGTGATCGACACTTTGGTATTTTTTAGTGCCAACCTTGCTTTCCAAAATACTCCAGACACAACAGTCCAACGGATTGGTATCCGGAGATTTTGGTGGCCATTGTGCGTTGGAAATGAAGCGTGGAACCTCATTTTGTAACCATTCTTGGGTGACGCGTGCTGAGTGCTGACCTCTTTGGCAAGTAAACAAGATCATTTGGTTTGTTTACAAACTGCTAGACAATGAATGTTTTCTCATCGGAGAAAACCAAATTCGGCAGTTCACTACTTTCGGCCAAGTGAAGCAACTCTTTAGCTCTTTTGAGTCTATTTTCTTTCGGTTGTGGTGTAAGTTCTTGCACTTTTTGGAATTTCAATGGTAAAGCCATTGATCTCATATTTCAATATTTGCCGAATGAAATATTGCCATATGTTCAGCTCACGAACCATTTTTCGGCCACAAGTCGCTTCTTCACTTTTCGAACCATTTCTGCTGATGTCGCTGTTTTCTTCCGTCCTCTTACTACGCAACCAGTATGACGGTAACAAGCGATTGTACTTAACAAAAAAGATTTATTCACATTTAAAAGCTGGAGTGCTCTAGCGATAGCCAAGAATTCACACTATCACGTTCGAACTCCATTACGAATAACTTTTTCTGGAAAAATTCTCACCAAAATGCTTTTGCACGCTTGTAAACAATATAATGAGCTGTCACTGGCTTTGAAATGACAGCAGTCTGAAGTTGGTTGCAGCTTTTTCATCTCACCCTGTATACCTAATCGTGAATAGAAGAGAATATAAATTAAAAGATTGACTGAGAAAAAATTTTGAAAAAAAATATCAGACATGTATTTTAGAGTACAATTTTTGAAGGACTATTAAAACTATAGTATTAAATTAAAACAAGTAAGCAAAGGCTACAGTCGAGCGGGGCCGACCGTTGAATTCCCTACAACACTACAATAAACGATACAGTTTATATAGGCGAGATACTCGAAAGAATTCCACAAGATATTGTGACAAATAATAAAAGAAAATCTTAAGGTTTCGTTCTCAAATTTTCGGATAATAGCAACTTAAACTAATTTGCTCATTTCCAATTTATTGGTAGATGTTGCACGTAGATGGTCTTCCTAGATCTGGAACCAATATTTCCCAAAGACCTATAATCTCTAAGAAGTGGCAAAAGATTAACATTTATTATTGTTTTTTGACTAAAACGCATCTATATGAGATACAGACATTTGACTATATTCTTCAACTAAATCAGCGTTAACGAAATAGTCAGAAGTGCGTCTTTCCTGCATTTGTGAATTCTCCAAAGAGTCGCTGGAATGGACATTTTCGTATTTTGTTTACAAAAGTTGGCAAACTATTTCACACATTGAATATTTTTGGATGGTCATCCAAAATTGCTTGGCTTTTGCAATGTCCAGTAACCCCATTCAAATGTGCCTGAGGATCGGGCGATAATTACGACCTGCTGACAATTTTGCAGTTTTTTGGTCCATTTCAACCCCTAAATATATGGCGATCATCTCCAAAAAGAGTAGACTTCTATTCTGACCCTCATCTTATCCCCATGCAAAATTTCGTAAGGATCGGGCCATAAATGAGATCTGTATATGATATCCTGATATCCTAACTACTTAGTTTTGTTAGCTGTAGAAATATTACCAAATGTTTAATTCAAAATGAAAATATGCCAAAAATATGACAAAATTGAAAAAATATGAGAAAATTTTACAAAATCAATATTTTCATCTTTAGAGAGATATTTTTATGCGATTTTTTAAGACATTTTTTCTTTCCTGTGAAGAGGCCATTCTGAATTAATGAGAACTGTCAAAATCAGTTCAGCCGTACTCGACATATAAGAAATTTTTCAAGCATATCCCCTTTGATAGACATATATATCGCACATATTTTGCTATATATCCGATTTGAAGGATGTTAACATCAATGTAAAGATCAGATGTAACCTTTTGATTGCTTTATGATTTCGGCGGCATTTAAAATATTCACGGTTTAATGAAAAATGTTGATTTTTTTCAACACAAAAGATATGGTCTATTTTACCCGCTAAATATTATCCGATGACCACCCAAATTAGTAGGCTTCTTCCCCGCCCTAAACTCTATCGACCTGTACAGCTACTGCAAAATCCGACATTTTTTCAGTATTTGGTCCATTTCAACTCCTAAACATTTGGCGATCATCTCCAAAAGCAATAGGGTTCTATTCTGGTCCAAGCCCCACCTACATTCTAAATTTCGTGAAGATCGGACCATAATTGCGACCTGTAGAGTGATTACAAATTAACATGGACAGACGGACAGACGGACGGACGGACATACATAGCTAGATCGACTCAGCTCGGCGAGCTAGGAAGATCCATATATACTTTCCTATGTGGGAAACCAATATTTCGAGGTGTTACATAATTTTTGGCCCAATCAAACTTATAATACCCCCAACACATAGTGTTGTAGGGTATAAAAATGTATGACTATGAAATCCATAAACTTGGATTTTTATGAAGCATTTTCGAATATGGATTTTTTAATTTAATGAACAATTTTTTGAAATACAAAATGTTCACAAAATTTTTGAAAGAACTACGAAAGCACAATTTGGTTTTTTAAGAAAAAAATCTTAATAACAAGAGCATCTTAATAACAATATTTCGACTGACTTCGACAGCCATATTCGGGGAAGCATATTATTGAGAACAGCAACAGTTTCATAGACTTTAAAACTGCCTAATTTAATTTTGTATAATTTTGTGCAAACTTTGCAATATTTGTATCAGTTCTGGATCAGGTGAAAAAATGGACAATATTCCAAACAAAGGTTCAAAATTTGAAGTAATTATAACTCTTATAAAATGCGAAATGAGCATTCGATTCTCTAAAATTTTCACACATTACAGTATTTCTACTAACAAAAGATGTGGTATTAAGATGGAATATGTCGGTCCACTACTCCATGTACCTCCCTCCCGCAAACGGTCAAAATTTTTAATAATTGTATCTCTTGTAATTTGCGAAATAAGCATCCGATTATCTTAAAATTTCACACATCACAATATTTTTTCCAAAACATAACCTGGTGTGAAGCTGAAATATATCAGACCACTTCCTCTGGTACCTCCCTAACAACGGGTCAAAATTTTGGATAACTAAGAAAATTCATATAAGCATCCGATTATTTTCAAACATAGCACATTAAAATATTTCTGCTAACACAAAACATGGAGTAAAGTTAGAATATATCGGTCCACTCCATCTGGTACCTCCCTCACAAAGAGACAAAACTTTGAATAACCAAAACGCTTATAAATACGTGGTAAGCATCTGTACAAGATCTTAAATAAGGATGATAAATATCGGCACACTCCTTCTGGTATTTCCCCCACAAATGGTAACAATTTTCTATATCTTTATACCCTCCACAATTCTATGTAGGGTACATTAAATTTTTCATTCCATTTGTATTCATAATAGACCCTACAAAGTGTATATATACTGGATCAGCGTAAAATTCTAAGACGATCTAGCGGTGTCCGTCTGCCTGTTGTAATCACGCTATCTTTCGAACGAATTGAGATAAAAGGCTAAAATTTTGCATACATGCATAGTTTACCAGTAGATGGACCATGTGGGTCCACGTTTTCGTATAGCCTCCATATAACGGTAACCCCCGATATTCGGTATTTTTATGATTTTGGCGAAATTATTTATGGGAATCGTTTCAAATTTCGTAATGGAAAATCCTAATGGGTACTACAGCCTATGACAAAAATTTTTGTATGCAGGTCCAAATCTTCGTATAGCCTCCATATAACGGTACCTCCCGATATTCGGTATTTTCATGATTTTAGCGACATTATTTACCGGAATCGTTTCAAATTCTATACTGGAATATCCTATTGGGTACTACATCTTCGTATATCCCCCATATAACAATTTTAATTTAAGTGGTAGATTTTAGATTTTTCTTTTCTTGAAAAATTTCCAGTTTGTTCGAAATGCTGGAGGGTATTAAAAGTTCGGCCCGGCCCGGTCGAACTTAGCTGCTTTTTTATTTGTTATCTTTTATAATTTGCGAAACTTGATAACCTGAGATCTGATGTGAAATAGAATTCATCAGCTCACTCCTTCTGGCTCCTCTCACAATATGTTTAAATTTTGATTATCTATTCGCATAAACTTGGAAATGAATGTTGGATGTTCATCCCAATATTTGTTTTAATTATTAGATGAAGTGGAATACTTCGGTCCACGCACATTCCTTAATTTTCCAAAAAACTTAGGTCAGAAACGAATTGGCAACATTGACCCACTCCTTTGGAATCTTTCCGATTTAGGGTCAACAATTTGGATAATCTTGCGTTATGATTATAAAAATATATTACAATAAACGAACAGTTGCTGAGGGTATACATCTGTCGGCATAACCGACATATACTTTTTAACTTGTTTTAATTGAATTAAGAAAGACATGTTACTATCGTCATGCGAAACCACATTCTAGATTGTAGCTAGTGTAATAATTAGTACTGTTTAGAATTAAATTGTAAAAACACCTTAGTTTTAATTTTACACCAGTAGTTCGTGATATCAATACTCTAGTCCTAAAAGTAAAAAAAAATCCTGAAGAAATACATTTGTTGTACCTTTTAGCATTTAGTACCATTTTGAATTTAATCATTTTTAGTACTCTATACATCTCTCCAAGAGAGACCCCTTCCCAAATTTAAGAATTTTACGGGATAGCACGATTTTCGTATTTTTCGTGGAAAATGTTAGATCTAGAATTATTATAAAATTTTATTATTATACATTACAACATTTAGTACTTTTAGCAAAAATTTCCGAAAACAATGTCTTTTCTGATGCTTTGCAACAATGAGGACCCATAAATATATAGTGTAAAACTGTTAAATGCGAAGTACTTAGTACTTTTTAGTAGCTATTAAGCACGAATCTAATGCCTCCTATTAATTATGACCTACTTTTAAAATTATTAGACTCTTGCCCCAAAATTATGGAATATAAGCTCGAAAATATTTTTTAGTACTTTTTTTTACCTGTTAGTATGAATTTTCCTCCCTTAAAATACCAAATTTCAAGAATCTACGCCAAGCCTTTTCTTCTGAGATTTGATGAGACAATCAGTCACTTACCTTAAATAATTAATAAAGTATTGTTTTATTCTCTCGCAAGAAAAGTACGCAGTCAATCTTAGTAGCAGAAGAATAATTTAGAATCTCTTCTCATTTTTTTCATATACGTCCACGTTTTGCATAATACACATAACACGTGGCGCCCAAATACGATTTTTGGGTTCGTGAAAAGCCTTAAAACTATTTTATCTATGATCTATATTAAAAACAAAAGTAAAGTGATTGGCTGAGTGACTTAATACGAAATGTACTAAAATGTACTAAAAGTTAAGTAATTTGTGTTGGACAAAGGGAATGAGCTAGAGTTGACTAGAATAAAATTTGGAATGAGAGCCACTGATGAGGTGCAGGATAAATATACGATTAGATTTTTGGAAATTCGAACTTTAAGGTTATTATGTGAACGAATAGTGCTAAAATCTTGAAATTTTTGTATGAGAAATAAGGTTGAAAAGTAAGTTTGATATATTCATGAGATATATGGTTTTTGAAATGTGTACTTGGTTCGAACGGATGGAGCAGAAGTTTTAAAAGTTTGTATTGGGATCCCTGTTGGTGGTAGGTTTGTGATGAAGAGGTGTTTTTGGGAATGTGTACTAAAGTGGACGAAAAGTAATAAATAGCAGTAATAATTGATACAATTTGATGTTGAGTGAACAGATATCGTTCGAAAAGTTGCAAATGGTACTAAATTTGGTATTGGGTGAAGGGATAGCCCTGGAATCCCGAAATTTGATATTCAGGTTTCTGTTGGTGTCTGGAATAGAAAAATGGACGTGGTTTTGGAAATGTGTAGTATAATTGTTCGACTAGTGGTACTAAATTATGTATTGGGTGAAAGATAGACCTGAAAGCCCAAAAATTAATATTGTTAGTATCTGGAATTGAGACATGGAGAGATGTACTACATTTGTACGAAAAGTTCTACATTTTGGTATTGGAAGAAGGAATAAAGCTAAGATCCTGAAATATAATACGGGTGTCACTGTTGGTGCCTTTGGATGAAAGAGCTGGTTTTGGATATGCGCACTATATTTGTACTAAATGCTACTAAATTTGGTAAGAGGGTGAGTTAAAGAGCTGAAATCCTGATATTAGAGATTAAGGTCACTCTTGGTATCTGAGGTTAAGTGGTACTAAATTGGGTAATGTGAAGGGAAAGACCTAAAATATTAAATTTTTTTTTATTGATTTTTTATTGATTTTTGGGATTGGGATATGAAGGTGGCTTTGGAAATATGTACTAAATAGTACAATATTTCGTATTGGATGAAGGAATGAAGCTGAAATCCTGAAATTTGATATTGATGCCACTGTTTGTGACTGTGGTGCAAAATACCAGAAACGGAATTCTGAAATTTGATAACGAGGTCACTTTTGGTGTGTAGAGTGAAGGGAAGGAGATGGTTATCGACATATAACTGTGTGAAAAATATGGTAAGATTGGGTCTTAGAATAGATCAGGAATTTTGAAATTTGATATGGAGGCCACTGTTGGTATATATTTTTGAGATAAGATGGTGGATTTGGGAATGCATAATATGATTGTTCGCATAATAATATGCATAATATGACTAGATTGTAATAAATTTGCTGTTGAGTAAATGTATAGACCAGGAGATCTAGTGGTGGTTTTGCAAATCCGTACAATAATTCTTCAAAAAGTACTAAATGGTACTAGTTTCGTATTTGTTATTGTTTATGTAGATTGTTTGTACTAAATGTTACTAAAATTCTGAAAATTCTTTCCGAAAAAAGAATAACTAGAATAATATATAAAACCTTTACTCTGAAAATTTATTACGATATATAAAGTTTTGATTAAGAAATTCTGTGAAAGTAAACAAATTGTGCATTTTAAGTACTAAAACGGACTAGACTTTTAGCTAGTGAATTGTAAAAGCTAAATTATTTTTGTCTTATTGTTTTACAGCAATGCCAAACCTAATTTCATTATCGGTTTTGATTTGATTGGTAATGAAGATGCCGGCGATCCTTTGCACAAATTTGCCAATGAATTGACGGATTTACCGCCCACAGCCAACTTTTTCTTTCATGCTGGAGAGACAAGTAAGGTCCGATTTTGAACGGATAACAAACAAAATTTTAATCTCGATTTTAATTTACAGATTGGTATGGCAAAGCCGATTGGAATATGATGGATGCCCTGCTGCTGAACACCAAACGTATTGGCCATGGATTTGCCTTGCCCAAACATCCCCAGCTGTGGTCGACCATCAAGAAACGTAACATTGCCATTGAAGTGAATCCATTGTCAAATCAAGTTTTGGGCTATATTTGGGATTTACGAAATCATCCGGCGTCGTTTTTGATAGCGGAAAATTTTCCCATCATCATTTCGTCCGATGATCCTGGTGTATGGAATGCCAAAGGATTAAGCTATGATTTCTATTATGCCTTTATGGCATTTGCCCCGGCCGAAGCGGATTTAAGATTTTTAAAGCAATTGGCTTTGAATTCGATAAAGTAAGACACATTTATTCTTTTTTTCAGAGAGGAAATAGAAACTGGCATATGTTTTATTTTTACAGATATGCAATTTTAACCTCCGAGGAACGGCGTAAAATGAATCGCATTTTCCAAAAGAAATGGGAGGAGTTTATTTACAATATTATAAATATGAAATTTTAGATATTCCCATGTTCAGCATTCCAATATTTCGTAATGAGTTAAAAAAAAGATAAAACAATCAAAAAGAAATTTTATTTATTTTTTATTTGATTGTAAACTTAAGAGGTAAGCAAAAAGGTTTTATTCTTTAAAAAAAAAAATAATTTATAACATACTAGCTGGCCCGGTCCGCGTTGCCGGCCCGTACTTTTAGTCTTTAAAGCTTAATAAATCACAGATCTGACTTATGTAGGCGGCACAATTTTAATTATAAGTAATGTCTTGATTATGAATAATGACTCCATGACTAAATATAAATTAATATTCATGGAAAAAATTATAATTACCGTCGGTTTTATATTTTATATTTTAAATAGCATGATCTTATTTTTCAGCTATAGGCTCTAATTTGAGTGTTAAATACCTATATGATAAAGAACATCTATAATAGCCCCATGTGAAAATTCAGCTCAATTTTTGATATTGTAAAAAGCATTCAAATGAGCTATAATTTGAAATTTGTATTTCCAACGTTTAAAATCCCGTACTGCGTGGTATTCAGTTTTGTCCACCTCATACTTGAGGGCAGAATGTTGTCAGAATAGCCAAAAAAATACTCTTTTGCTCCGATTATCGTAAGATGGGCAATAATTGTTTGTTATTTAAATTGTGCGGTGGAGATCCAATAAAGTTACTTTATAATTTCGTATTTTTTTCATGTTTCTGCCACAATTTCCAACTGAATGAGTCCCAGATTGACATTTCGGAGTTTATTTCATATAGACGTACATCCCAAATCTACGTTCCCAACCAATATTCTCTTGGGGGTTACAAATTCAAAAGAATATCAAATTTTCTTTTCTAACCACACATTGGTTGGGAAAGTGGACTTGGGGGTATGCTAATGTGAGGACTATACTTAAATAAATTCCTATGAGGATAATTATCTGTAAGATGATTTTCTACCCCAGGGTTTTTTACCCCAGGTAGCCTCAAGACTAAGATGCGCACTTTCCCCAAAAATAAAACTTTATAAAAAGAGGTTTTCTTCCCCCTTAGAAACAAAGATGTCAAATAAGTGCCAAAAAATGAAAAAAGTGGCCAAGACCCCGAAAATACCTTAAATCATATGATGGTGATACCAAAACGTGATAATTTTTGCAAAGATGGTTTCTTCTTAAATTATCAACATAAGCTAAAATTAGTACGAAAAATATGGTTAAAATGGAGAATATACTTGAAATCGGGTTGTTACGTTATCAGGGGTTATGATCCATATAATGACCTGCCAAAGCGATTAAAGGTATCTTGAATGTTTAGGTAGAATTTCTATTTTGCGTTCTTTATGGTCGGTATTTGACTGATTGCAGTCCCAATGTATTTTGCATTTTGTATTCTCATTTGACAATTTATTGTCATATGAAAGAAGTAGGCCAACTTTTTGAAATTAACCCCATAACGCTTCTTCGGTCATTTTTGTTTGTTTAAATGTGTTCGCATCTTCCAGCTGAAGCTGTATTATTTTGAAATTCGATTCCATTGAAAAATTGTCGATTTTTCCCGATTTTAGAATTTTCATATAAAGCGACAACGGATAAAATTGTTATTTATAGATTTTATGTATTTATTGGGTATTACGAACAAATACATAAAATCTATAAATATCAGTTTTATCCGTTGTGGCTTTATACTACCAAAAAAAAAACCTACACATCATATTAGAATTCAAAAAAAAAATCACTACAAATGTACATTCGAAAATAGTAAGTCAAAATGGAAAAAAATGCAATATAAAACATTACTATTGTACATTTTAAAAGTCAAAATGAAAATGTTGAAATTTCACATTTTTACTCGATTTTTTTTTGGATTTTATTCTTTTCTGCCAAGAGGCAATTCCGAATTTGTCTAAATCGTTAAAATCAGACCGGCGGTCTTTATGTTATAAGAGTAGTAACTAACACAACTTTCTTTTACATATAGAGAGATAGATTTAAAAGTAGGCGCGTTCCTCAGCCCCTAAATAAGTACGTAGGGTTGGATGGAAAGCCAACAGCATCTCGTGTAATAATTCTCAAACGATATCTTCACTATTTTGGCAAATATAAAGATTTCAGATAAATCGTAATAGTGGGCGTAAAAGGAGGCGTGGTCAATATTTTTTTCTTTAAAAACCTAACTCGGGGTATGACGAACGTTTGTACAAAAAATTATGCAAATCGGTCCAGCCGTTTTCAACTGATTCCGTTACCAACAAACAACAATTGATTTTTATATATATAGATTTATTTCTTAAAGTATGAAAATATCAACTTTATTAAACTTTATTCATATTCAACATTTCTCAAGTCTCTGCAAACTACACAATATCCTTGGCATACCATCCGTGTAGACATTTCGGCACCGGCCCATTGGTATGGAAAACACATCGGCCCAATTCCATAAATGTCTTTGCACACAGTACCAATAGCCCGACCTTATTTTCATTGAATCCACCCCAAACCATAGAGGCCAATATAACTCCATCATCTTCATCATGGGCATTTGGAGCGGGCACAAATATCGGTTCACTGGGATAACAATTATCTTCACACCATGTCAGGCAGGTTTTGTTAACGACGTCGACTTTGATTAGCTGCAATAGATGAAAAGAAAATTTAAAAACAAATATTCTTCAAAAATTCATACCTAAAAATTCGCTCTTTTCTTGTCTCTTAGTCTAAAACATCTACATTTTTGGTATTAAATTCCTTTAACATTTTTTCCCATTAGTCTTTTGGAGTTTGAACAAATATTCATAAAAATCAACGTTTATTGGTTTGTAAACCTTGAAAAATATATTAAACAACAAGTTAAAAAATATCAGTTGGTTTTGTCGAAAGATATATAATCTCAGCTTTTGTTTGATAATAAAATATATTTTGATTTGACTATTCAAAATGTTTCCCCTTTATTGGGATGGTACCGAATGAGCGAGCCAATATTTTCTATTTTGCATACGACCTAAGTTTGATATAATTATTGCGACGTTTCAGGTTTGAACGATATCGACCACTACCTCTCCTTTATTCGTATACAAATCCTTAAGAATATCCTCTTTTGTTCTAAAATTCCTTCTAGAAATGATCTAAAAATACATATATTTAGTCCCAAAGTCTCAAAAAAAAAAAAAATATTCTTTAAAAATATATTTTCAAAATTCACCGTTTATGGGTCTGTTGGTGTTTGAATAAATATTCTTATAAAGACCACGTTTATTGGCCTGAAGGTCGTTAAAAATATTCTAAAACAAGTAAGCAAAGGCTACAGTCGAGCGGGGCCGACCGTTGAATACCCTACAACACTATAATAAACGATACAGTTTATATAGGCGAGATACTCGAAAGAATTCCACAAGATATTGTGACAAATTATAAAAGAAAACCATCAGGTTCCGTTCTCTAATTTTCGAATAATAGCAACTTAAACTAATTTGCTCATTTCCAATTTATTGGTAGATGTTGCACGTAAATGGTCTTCCTAGATCAGGAACCAATATTTCCCAAAGACCTATAATCTCTCAGAAATGGCACAAGATTAACATTTATTATTGGTTTTTGACTGAAACGCATCTACATGAGATACAGACATTTGACTATAATCTTCAACGAAATCAGCGTTAACGAAATAGTCAGAAGTGCATCTTTCCTGTATTTGTGAATTCTCCAAAAAGTCACTGGAATGGACATTTTCGTATTTTGTCTACAAAAGTTGGCAAACTATTTCACACATTGAATATTTTTAGATGGCCATCCGAAACTGCTTGGCTTTTGCAATGTCCGGTAACCCCCAATCAAATGTGCGTAAGGATCGGGCGATAATTACGATCTGCTGACAATTTTGCAGTTTTTTTGGTTCATTTCAACCCCTAAATATATGGCGATCATCTCCAAAAAGAGTAGGCTTCTATTCCGACCCTCATCTTGTCTCCATGCAAAATTTCGTAAGGATCTGGCCATAAATACGATCTGTATATGATATCCTGATATCCTAACTACTTAGTTTTGTTAGCTTTAGAAATATTACAAAATGTTTAATTCAAAATGAAAATATGCCAAAAATATGACAAAATTGAAAAAATATGAGAAAATTTTACAAAATCAATATTTTCATCTTTAGAGAGATATTTTTATGCGATTTTTTAGACGTTTTTTCTTTCCTGCCAAGAGCCCATTCTGAATTAATGAGAACTGTCGAAATCAGTTCAGCCGTTCTCGACTTATAAGAGATCTTTCAAGCATATCTTCTTTGATAGACATATATATCGCACATATTTTGCTAAATATCCGATTTGTTGGATGTTAACATCAATGTAAAGGTCAGAAGTAACCTTGTGATGGCTTTATGATTTCGCCGGGATTTAAAATATTCACGGTTTAATGAAAAATTTTGAATTTTTTCAACACAAAAGATACGGTCTATTTTACCCGCTAAATATTATGCGATGACCACGCAAATTGGTAGGCTTCTTCCCCGCCCTAAACTCTAGCTACATGCGAAATTCCGCGTCGATTGGTCTATAATTGTTTCGTTTTTTCAGTATTTGGTCCATTTCAACCCCTAAATATTATGCGATCATCTCCAAAAGAAATAGGGTTCTATTCTGGCCCTAAACCCACCACCATTCTAAATTTCGTGAAGATCGGGCCATAATTGCGACCTGTAGAGTGATTACAATTTAACATGGACAGACGGACAGACGGACAGACGGACGGACGGACATACATAGCTAGATCGACTCAGCTCGGCGAGCTAGGAAGATCCATATATACTTTCCTATATGGGAAACCAATATTTCGAGGTGTTACATAAATTCTGGCCCAATCAAACTTATAATACCCCCAACACATAGTGTTGTAGGGTATAAAAATCCAGATTTATTGGTCTGTTGTTCTGTTTTTTTACGGCTTTATTATTCCTTAAGAAATAAATATTATTGGCCTGTTGATCCTTCGAAGAATATTCTTTATACAACGTGTCCTTGAAAAAAGTATTCTTAAAAATCCAGATTTATTGGCCTGTTTGTCTTTGAAAGATATTAAAACTCTATGATAATCCAAATTTGTTGGCCATGTTAAAAAATCCACGTTTATTGATCTGTTGGTGCTTCAAAAATTTTTTTAAAAAATCAATTTTATTGGTCTGTTGTTGCTACAAAAAAATTCCCGAAAGAACAATTTTGTTTTTGAAAAATATATTCTTAAAAATCTACTCTTTATAAAATGTTGGTCTTTGAAGAAATTGTTTTAAAACATACAATTTCACTATCTGTTTGTCATTGACCTAGAAATGATCTAAAAATACATATTTTTAGTCCTGAAGTCCTTAAAAAATATTCTTAAAATATTCTATTTTTTGTGCTAAAGGCTTTAAAATTATAAAAATCCGAATTTTCTAAAAATATTCTTAAGAATATCCTCTTTTGTTCTAAAACTCCTTCTAGAAATGATCAAAAAATACATATTTTTAGTCCTAAAGTCCCTAAAAAAATTTTCTTAAAATATTTACTTTTTTGGTGCTAAAGTCTTTAAAAATATATTTTCAAGAATCACCGTTTATGGGTCTGTTGGTGTTTGAAAAAATATTATTAAAACATCCACGTTTATTGGTCAGAAAGTCGTTAAAAATATTCTCAAAAATCCAGATTTAATTCTCTGTTGATCTGTTTTGTTTTTTTTTTTTTTTTTTGGTTCGACGGTACTTTATTTGGTTTATTGATAAATATCTTTAAGAAATAAATAATATAACTACTAAAAATTCCGAGTTTATTGCCCAGTTAGCTTTGAAAATATTCTTGAATAATCTACATTTGTTGGCCCTTTTAAAAAATGTTTGATAAAATTCACTTTTATTGGTCCGTTGGTTCTTTGAAAATGTTCTGAGAAATTTGTCCGGTAGTCCTCGAAAACGATATTCTTAAAAATCCACTTTTTATAAAACGTTGGTTCTTGAAGAAATATATATAAAATACCCACGTTTATTGGTGTAAGAAATAGATTTGAAAAATCCACGTTTATTGGACTTTGAGTCCTTAAAATGTATCCTTAAACATCTAAAGTTCGCAGATGGTCCTTGAAAATATTTCAAATTTTTTTCGAGTCACCCCTTGGTGCCTATGAATACTGCCGTTATTTATGCGTCAAAAAAATTATATTGTAAAACACTTTTATATAATTACCGTTCCTGGGTTATCAGCATCCACATCTGAACTTATCGCGTAGAAGTATTGATAAGGTTTAGCTGCAAAAATTTAAAATTAAAAAAAATCACACAAAAATTATCAACCCATACCTAAATAACGTTCATAATTTATGCGTGGTGTTTCACAACCGAGATCACAAAGCAGTTCCGGCCTTACAAATATGGGACCATTTTGCGTATGATACGCCTCCGCTTTGGTATTCGCCAGTGTAATCAAATTCTCAGACCACTCATATTTATCGTTTTTCGCCGTAAAATTATAATCATCTTTGCCGATTTCGGGATTATTATTCACAGTAAAGTTGATGTCTTCATATTCCGTTTGGGAGCGTTTCAGTTTTGGTTGTTGCAGTCTTGAACTGATACCCGACAATGTAAACGATTTCATTAGCCTTTGTCTTCGTCCCATTTGACGATTTTGTTCACAATTCGCCGTCTCATTCGCCTTACTTGCCAATGGCAAGACAAATCTCAACGGCCTGCCACGAAAGAGTGTCGCATAATTCGGATTCGATTGCATGTTCATCATCGATTCCAAATACATACAATTAATCATTTCGGGATTTTTATAACAACAAATATCAATGACCACATGATCATCGCGTTCGTACTGATTTATAATGTGGAGGTAGAAAAATGGATCGGATTGAAATTTATGCACCACTTCACCGCTTCGCCGATCAACCAAATAAAACAGACAGGGCTTGTTGTCGAACCATTTTAGGCAGGCTGAGGTATTTTGATTAAAGATCTGGGCCTTAATAAATTCCGGTAACGATACGGACAAGGGTTGTTCCACAATTACGAAATAATGTTCGGTTATGCCGAAAGTGTGCATATAACCCGGATTCAGTTTCCATCGACAAGGAATTTGTGCCTTCACATAGGCATTTTCAAACATACCCTCGCCGTGTGGAAAACAAATAATGTTGTAGACTGGACCGGATTTGGTTGATGCCATACCCAAATTATAGACCGTGCCATTAGACATAACGTGTGGATGGGAGGTGTGATTCACGACACCTGTGTAATCTGTAACACATATTCGACCCTCGGTTGCCAATGTGCGGGGGTTTATTCTGAAAAGGCGAAAGAAAAAGGAGAAATAATTTGAGAATGATTTGGTTCTGTGGAGCGTGTGCGTGTTGCCATCAAGTATACACCATATACCCACATACATGATATAAACGAAGACCCTGGATTTCAAAAAATAAAAAGTATGTATTATTTAAAATTCCACATTTATGGACTATCTATAAATGTATATTAAAAAATCGGACACCAGTAGTCTAAATAAAAATATTCCTTAAAAATTACAAGTAGGTGACTGATGACCCCTCCAAATAAACGTCAATGATTATAGGTCTGATAGCCCATCAAAATAGTTGTATGGGTCCTGACCCCTCCAGCTTGTCGTCTATGTGCCATAGGCTCCCTAGACCTAGTTGTCTATGTACCATATGCTCCCTTGTCCCTCCAGTTCGTCTTATATATAGAGATTCTCTTGCCCTTCAATCCGGCTATCATTTCATCTAAAAGGCTTCCTCTAAACTCATTTATAAAGACTCACTTTAAGTACTTCTTTCTACGATTTCTTCTGGAATACTATTTTAAAATGTTTACAACAAATCTTACCTATGAATCATCGGAGTCTCGGTAAACGTATAAAATTCATCCCCGAAGGGATATATTGAGATCATTGTATTATCTGAACCATTATCTGGACGAAATATTGCAGAGACCCTAAAGTGAAAAAACAAACAAAAAATTAATTGTTTTAAAAAATTGCTACTCAAATTTCCCTACCTGTCAAAAATTGAATGACATGGATCGGGAACGGCCGCAGTTCCAAATTCGGTCACCACAATTCTTTGGGCAGCTGTGTTCTTTTTCAATGTCTCCGTCTGAACGAAACGATTCTGATAGGTGACATTACCATTGTGAATGGCAAAACGATGCAGCAACGCCGAACAATCAAACAAATGTTGAAAGGTCATATCGCCGACCTTCCAATTGCCAGGGCCGTTACGCAATAGGCTGCCATTCAGCCATGTGGGTATGGTGCCAATGACATGTCCTTCCAGAGGTTCAATTATTTCCTTTACACACGATCTTAGCCACACGCTAGAATCACAGTTTGGATAACATCGACCGGAGCCATCGATAACACTCGCCTGCGGGTCATGTTGGACGGGATCATATTTAACCTGAAAACGTGGTAGAAAAAATGGAAAAAAATATTTTTTAAAAATAAAATTTTTATTCCGGATTTTTTTTAATGGGTATGAACCATTCACCTTTTCACTGTCCTTAACCTTTTTATACATTTTGCTCGAATACCACAAGTAAAAACGCTTCGATTTAATAAGAATTACACAAAAACTTAGTATTAAAAAAATTATGGAAAAATCCATAATTTGCTGTGCCTTAGTATTTCACACTACGTGGCTACTGCTTGGAACCTTCATTTCAACTGTTTCTTATTTTTTCTTAATCGTTTTGTTTGCCGTCTCGTCTTGTCTTTCAACTGGCAAAGATTTGTGCCACAAATATTCAACAGAGGCCACTGACAGACATTCTGGCCTCTGTGGTGTATGACCTTCGTGTCTGTGTGTTTGAGTGTCAAAAAACAAAAAAAAAAACTATGAATGAAATCTACACCACTACTGACGGGGAGATATGGGGAGGCAATTTTCATCTAAGGGTGACATCTTATTCGGCGTCTTGTCACTTTTGTTTTGGATTAGTTTCTCCACGTATTTTTATTTTCTTCCTTCGCATGAATATTGTCCCCCAGTGACTAACAACAGTTATGACCATTGTCGCGTCGGTATTGACATTCCGCCATGGATTATCAACTGAACAATGCGCTTTTCACAGACTAAACAAATTAAGACCCAATTAATCCGTCCTAAAGCCATATTATCCATCGACATTAGGAGACAAAGCAACAAAAACACACATATGGCTGTTAACGCATGCAACAACCTATTCCGTAATGGAACTACAATCACGTGAATTTGTTGAGGGGCCTACAAAAATTTTATTATGATAATGATTGACAAATAACATTTGCATACAGGTACCCTACATGTCGCACAGGATTACTCATTTACTTGTGCCATAGATGGGAAAAATGTTTCGTAACAGGTCCTAAAAATACAGTGCATGCGGCAAGTGTTGGTGTGATCGCAAGCCATGTGCCGTCTCTATCCAGCGATTGTATGAAACGTCTTCAATTGTGGTTGCCTGACATCCGTATTAATTCTGACAAAACCGCAATCATGCCATTCAAACGGCAAGCGATTATCGAACCAGAATCGAAGTGAATTGAATTGAAACAGATAACCACCACTGTAGACAAGCAACTTCTAAAAAAGGACTGATCGCACATAATGAGGAAATCTTCGGTCTCATGCATGAGTCGCTACCAATAGGCTCCAACCTAACCTGACCCTCACCTAATACCCAAATATGAAAGATAGCATAGACGCTGTGAACAACTAAGAATGGCCCATTCATACAACAAAGGCAGATATCATTGCTATCGTGAAGGCAGCAGAATTAATTAAAACTCTAAAAAAGGAAATGACTAAACTGGTGACTATCAATGAGGATAGTCAAGCTGCTCTCAAATCTATTGACACGTCCATAATCAACTCTTATGTAGGTGGGATTTGGAAAATTGTAATATTGATATATGTCAAATACTGCAGACTGCGTAAGGACGAGGAAGAGCCCGATAAACACCAATTATGCCACAGTCTTGCGTTAGCAAGAGAGTGGTTACGAATTACGGATTTCATGATCTCATTGTGCATTCAGATACAGATCACATTGCATGTTTTGTGTTTTGTTTCACTGTCAAACCTCTTTAGTTTGTTCTATAATTTAACCATGAATCGTCTTACAAATTAACAACGCTTGCAAACCTCTGATTTTGATAATTCACACCATTCCGGAGAGGTATCTTTGCGGCTAATAAAAATGAAAATAAAAAATATTTTTTTCGTAATTGTTTATATTGTATGCAATTTTTTTCAATTTGATATGTTATATTGAAGTTTACATTCCCTTATTGTTTTGAATTCTGAATGAAAGAATGATAGAAAATGAAATTAGTGCACAATACGATGATAAATGATGATCTTTCCTGACCAGACTTGACATTTAGCGTTCCAACCCCAGAGCCTACATCGTGCTTCAGCTGGAAAATACGAATACATTCAAAGCAACAAAAATGACCGACACAGCTTTTTGGGGCTCATATCAAAATGTGGACCTACTTCTTTCATGTGGCATTAATCCGTCCAATGAGAACTCAAAATGCAAAATTCGTTAGGATTGTAACCAGTGAAATACCGAATATGAAGAGACACTGCGATATGCGAACTATACAAAGTGATAGAGAGAATTGAAATTTTAGTATAAAAAGGATTCATATCCCCCGAAAATTCTTCCGAAACCTTCAAGATACCTAAATTGGAGGACCATACCTTTATATGGAGGACTTTGAGCAATAGCAAGTAATTACATTTTACAACAGCCAATCTGGACTTTGGGAAATTCTAAGTGGCTAGTATTCGGTTAGCATATCCCAGTCAAATTTTTTAGGGATTAATATATATAACCATATCAGAAACTCTATGATAGATTTTGCTTTATGCTTCGCAAAATTTACGATAGATGTGCTATATTATAGCTGACGAAATAGTATCAGGTTTTTTAAGACACTTGAAATCGTCTAGAGAGTGAACATGTAATAACATTTTTGCTATTGGTATTTATTTCTTTTTGGTCGAGAACACCATTTCTTTTTGGATAAAACTCTTTTGTGAAATTTGAAATCGATATAGTCTTGTCTGACAATTTCTTGTACTTGAAAATGCGACGAAAATTAAAAACCTTGCACATGTTAATATTCACAAGGAATGTTCTTCATGGAACAAAAGTACATTGAACGAATGTACCTTTTGAAGCAAATATAGATATATATTATGGAGGGTATATTAAGTTCTTCATTCAGTTTGTAACTCATCGACACAATAATTTTAGGCACAATAAAGTATATATATTTTTGATCAGCGTAAAATTCTAAGACGATTTAGCTCTGTTCGTCCGTCTTTTGTTATCACGCTAGAGTCAAAACGAATAAAGATTGTAAGCTAAAATTTTGCACAGATCCGTCTTTTGTATGTAGGTAGGTCAAGTTCGAAGATGGACCGATACCACGATATCGCATAACCTCCATATAACGGTTATAATTTTTCAATTGAATTGACTAAAAATCTATACTAGAAGTTCTTTCTAAGCTCCTTACCCCACCTACGACGGTCCCGCCCGATATTCGATATTTTCACGATTTTAGGGACATTATTCACAGGAGTTGTTTCTAATTTCGTATTTGGAATTCGTAATGGGTACTACAGCCTATGACAAAAAATTGCGTATGCAGGTCGAAGTCTTTGTATAGTCTCCATATAACGGTACCTCCCAATATTCGGTATTTTGACAATTTTAGGTACAATATTCACCGAAATTGTTTTTTAAGATTTTAACAGAATTTTTAACGGATTTTATTTTTTTTAATTTGAAATTCTTTCGAAATGGTAGGGGGTACTCCAAGTTCGGCCCGACCGAACTTAACGTTTTTTACTTGTTTTATCAATAAATAGTATTGAAGACAATTTCATTGTTTTACAAATGTTCCAGACCACATTGATGGGGGCAGCGTAGCGTTGTAAATATAAAAATAAAACTAATAAATAAAAACAAAATGCTTTGGAAAAAAATAGACAACAGTAAAGAAAAAAGTTCTGTTGGTCAGTCCTTTCATTTAAGACTGGAAAAAGAGGGTAGTTAATACCCACACAACAAACATGCACATGTATATGAAATGTTAACAGCTAATACGAATAGTTGTAAATGTAGTGGGAGGGAGTCAAGTGTTTTCAAGGCCAGCGTGTGTGAGTAATTTTGCGTATTAGGGGCAATAGTAATTTCAATGCGAAGTTTAGCTGCTTAGAAGAATTCAACTACGTCAAACTTAATTAAACGATTTTAGATAAGTTGAATTCTTTTAAATGTCGAACCAAGATTAATGGTCATAGTTGCAAAAGAAAGTATCCTTGAACTGTTCATTATAACATCACTGATATTATCAATAACATTCTTAAGTAGTTAAATAGTATTTAACAGATATATACCCTCGGCCAATGTTCGCTTTTTTAAATAAATTTTGACTTGCGTTCAAACTATTGACCTTTTATGGGAGAGGTTTAGAAGAAGTGGGTCAACCCGATATAAGTCTGAATATTACAACGCACCAGATTTGGAGAGTATCGATTACTTCTTTCTCTTTATATCAGATATATGATAATTTTTGGAAAAATGTTGAAATGTGCGTAAGGTACCAGATATAGTTGAACTAAAAACATATTGGGACGTTTAAAATTAAATGAAAATCTAACATTTTTTTTTTTAAATTTTATGCGAATTAAGGAGTGGACTAATATATCCTATATTCACATCAGATATCTAATCTAATTAAATATATCGAGTTTGACTTGTTTTGTAAGTTACGAGAGATACAAGTATTGAGAGTTGTGACCCTTTGTGGGGGAGATTCCAAATTATTGGAAGATAATTTGCGATATATGAAACTTGTACAAAATATGGATCGATGTCGGTCTATTTCAAATCATCCCTGAGTTTAGAAATTTTCTGGGTCTTGGCCAATTTTTCAATTGATTTGGCCCTTATTTGTTATCTTGCCTTCTAAGGGGATGGAAAACATTGCAAATTCCAAATCACTGCTAAATCGAATGGAAAACGTTACTAAAATCTTTACAACACGACAAATTGAGCAGAGCTCTTATATGGGTCTATTATAAACAGGTTATACATGCTTTTTATTAGATTGGGTATATTATGGCTGACAAAATAGGAATTTTTTTTAAGACACTTGAAATCAACTGGCGCGTGAATATGTAATGACATTTTTTGCATTGGTATTTTTTTTTGTCGAGTACACCATTTTTTTTTTTTGGACAAAACCCTTTTATGAAATTTGAAATCGTTATAGTCTTGTCTGATAATTTCTTGTACTTGAAAATGCGACGAAAATTAAAGACCTCGCACATGTTAATATTCACTAGGAATGTTTTCCACGGAACAAAAGTACATTTTGTTAAACGTTCCACGTTTTTATACCCTCCACCATACATAATATGGTGGGAAAATTAAGATCGTCATTCCATTTGTAACTCATCAAAATAATAATAATTTTAGACATAACAAAGTTTATATATATTTGACCAGCATAAAATTCTAAGACAATTTAGCCCTGTCTATCCGTCCGCCTGTTATAATCACGCTAGAGTCAAAACGAATTAAGTCAGGAAGCTAAAATTTTGCACAGATCAGTCTTTTGTGTACAGAACTATATCGGTCCACGATAGCGTATAGCCCTGCTATATCGGTGTTTTAGCTACATTTTTCAATTGAATTGTCTTACAATCCATACTAGAAGTTTTTTCTAAGCACTTTATACCCTGGAAGAGAAATGTCTATATAGATCCATGATATCGTATAGCCCACATAATTTATATATTTTCACGATTTTAAGAACATTATTCATTGTGGGGCCGACCTTGTGATACGCTACAACACTACAGTATGTTAGAAACCCCTTTATGTGCAAACCCATTTTGGAAGATTCGTTTTTGAAATTATATCACGGAGCACTGCTCAGGTATTGCCAGGGACATTTGCCGAATATTTACGCACTCTGTCGTGCTGTCTTTCTAAAAGTATTCTTTGAAAATTCACGATTATTGTTGTAGTAGTCCTTCAAAAAATATTCGTTTAAACACGGGTTTATTGATTTACAGTTATTCTAAAAATTTATTTAAAAAATACTCGCTTATAAAGGTCCTTTCTTCTAAAAGGATTGTTAAAAATCCACGTTCATTCATGTGATAGTTTTTCTAAAAATATTGTTACAGAAATCCACGCATATAGATCTGATAGTTTTTCAAAAATAATCCTAA